AAATAAATCAATAAACAAAGCTCAACAAGCAGGAATCTGACAGAAGAAAGTTCTTTTGTCCACACAGAGAGAGTCCAGGTCCAAACCGGGGATCAGACCCAGGACCTCGTTGCTGTGAGACAACAGTGAACCGCTGCACCAGCGTGCTGCTGAGCCCAGTCCAGTACCTCAGCTGTGGCCCAGTCCACCTGACCTCTCACAAACAGGTAACAGTGTTTGTCTCTCTGAGTCCAGCCTGAGGGACAGGTGCAGACCGTGGGGACACCTGAGGACAGAGACACACAGAGACCTTCATCCTCTGCTCGAAACGGTTGTTTTACAGATAAAATAAAGAAGAAATAAAGCTGCAGAGCTGCAGAGCTCATCAGAATCAACAGAAATGAGTTTTATTCTGCAGCTCAGCAGGTTTTATTCAAATTAAAACCTTAAACTCATCTGTTGTTGATTTATCAGACTTTAAACTGAATATTTTCTCTTTGTTTTGTTTCTTTCTGTTTAAAGATGTTTGTTTTACTTCATTACTGCCATAAAGAAAACAAACCAACCTGCTCTGGAGCATCCTGCCTGTAAAATAAAAACGTAAAATAAAGAATGAGAACTGAAGTTTTTACAGGTTTATTAATAAAATCAGGAACTTTATATTTTGGCCAAACAGACCTGTAAATTACAAACTTTATTTTGATTAATATAGGTAAATTAAAAACTATTATTTTATTTAATGCTGGAGAAAAGTTCGGCTGATGTTTCAGCTGTTTTCTTTCTTTAAATCTGTTTTAAAACCTACGTTTACTGTGACGAGCAGAGCAGAGCTCACACAGAGCAGCAGAGACAAGAGAGACGAAGTCATCTGTGGACACAAACAGTCACAACTTCTGTTACTGCCTGTACAACACAACCTGTCCACAAAAGAAACCTTTATTCTGAAAGGACTGCAGCTTTGTGTCTCACTGACACATTCAGCTAAAACACAATTTAAACATTAAAAGGAACAAAAAGAGTCAAACTTCAGTTTTACCTCGTTGAGTGGATCAGATGAGTGGAGGAGGTTCCAGGAGCAGAAACTGGATGTCTGTGAGAGACAGAGCTGCAGGTTTTATACTGACAGTGCGTCCCGCAGCGTGTCTCCTGAAGACCAACAAACGTCTCCAAGAACTCATGAAACCAAACAAACATATCAGGTTTCATCAAACAGTCTGCTGCTCAGGTGAGAAATACATCTTTCTGTTTAAACTGTCATCCATCCATCCATCCATCCATCCATCCATCCATCCATCCATCCATCCATCCATCCATCCATCCATC